GTGTGTGTGTGTGTGTGTGTGTGTGTGTGTGTGTGTGTGTGTGTGTGTGTGTAGGATTTGCTGACTTGATAATGCAGGGCAAAGGATCTTTGCTTAGCCTTTGTGGAATAAACTTTCACTGTTAAGGCAAGGTCAGACACCAGACGTGTGCTGAGACTCCGTTCAGCCCCTTCTCTAACTTAAATTTTTCTGGAGCAAGTATCCTACATGAGCGTTCTGAGCCATTGAACGTGCATCTTTGTTTTACTAAGAAAAAAAAAAAAATCACCTGATGTAGCCCTCTGTAACTCTGTACCTCTAGGCTCATAAATTCGTCCATGACATGGCTCTCCTAAAACTGACTCCAGATTAATTTTGTTAAGGTTCCTCCTAAAACCAAGGTCCATAACCAGGGTCTTTGACCTTGTTTAACTATTGTTCTATAACTTGTCTCTGCAGTTTTCTTTTTCTTTCTTGTTTTTTTTTTCTTTTCTTCTCACAAACCTGGTTAGTTTCAGGTTATTTACAGAATGGCATACTGTTCAAAAACTCAGAATTCAGAACACATTTGTTCAAGTAGATACTTAATAGCTGAGCGACTTGGGTTGAATTTCTTCATGTTTTGTAGAGTACCCATCTATTAAAAAACAAAAGCAAAGTCATGAGTTATAACTGGGAATGAAGCATGTCAGGAAATGTAGGACACTTAAAAACTCTGTTACAGTAATATTAAAAAATGCTGCTGAAGTATTGTTACCACATCAACTCTGAGGGCTTTCATTACTGCCAGTTGACATCTGGAATGTTCTACTAACACCGTCAACCTTCTATATATAAAATTAAATCTAGGATTTCATCAAACCTCTCTCACCATTATCCTTGTATAATTCCTCTCCTCTGACTTCACCCTCCTGTGTTCTCCAGTCATTCATGCTTTCAGGCATTCATTTATGTATTCATTCTCACCTTCATTTTCTTATTCCAATCATCCTGCTGCTAATATTTCCTGGTCCTCCAGATTCCTAAGCATGCTGCAACACCTTTCTCACCTCAGTTCCCAAGCCTGGTTTCATGTTTTGAAGATTCGTTTTGGTTCACCCCACATTTTTTTTTCCCCACTTCCAAAGCTTCCACTGACCTCTCTCTATAGGTAATTCCCACTCAGTTATTCTTCAAAGCTACACAGCTCTACTGACAATTATTATCGTCTGGAATGTTCTGTTAACATTGTCAAACTCCTGTATCTAAAATTAAATCTAGGACTTCATCCAGCTTTTAGAAAAACTCTCATAGTTCCTATCAATGGGCGGAACTATTCCCGATACAAAATAAAATTTTCATAAATATTCAATGAACAAAGGAATTTTTTGTTTGTGTCAATATCTCTTTTTACTAATGGCCTCTTGACATCTAACTTAGCATTATTTTCTCCCTTAGGACAATTGTTGTCACTGTCAATGTCTATGTATTACCACACAAATGTCTCCATTTTTAATTTCCAGTTATCTGTTCTAATTCTGGCCTTCTTTGTTTTTTGGTTTTCTTTTGCCTTTAAAGATTTCATCTCTGTGTTTTTCTTCAATTAGTGATCTATCAATCACCTTTAAAATTAATTAACTTTTAACCATATACTGTTCCAAAGCTCTTAGTAATTCATTTCCATTCTGTTACTAAGTTAAAAATAGATTCTGAGCCATGCTATCAATTTTTCCCATTATTGTTCCATTCTGTCTTACAAAGTTATGTACATATAGTCTTATCCCATATAACCTGTTAATTTCTGTGGGATATTTCATGTTTTCCTGGTTTTTCACAGTAAGATATCTGAAACTCTTGGGAGATCACTTATTTAGCTCATTCAAACCCTAAACGTCTTTCATCTGTTGATTCCTTAACCTGTTTCTTATGAGTGTGGCTATGTTAAACTGCCTCTATCCTACTAGATCATGTTTTGAAATTTAAAACTTTATTATCATTAACCTATTGTCTTCGTTAATGCAATGCTTTGTATATTACGGATACAATGAAACTGCTAAAATCTCCACTGCTGTAATTCCTCAGACTACAATAGAGTTGGTCTTAGTCTTGGGATCTTTACATCTTTTCACATGTTTAGAAAGCCCATGTCTGCTTGAGTAGTAGGAAAATTTTGCCAACTGTAGTTTATTTTTGTTGTTATTGTTTGGGTTTTGTTTTCTTTAATTTTTTGTTTACATTTTCACAGACTGAGCCCTCAGTGCATTGTATGATAGGAGAGCTGGTTTGGGGGACTCCGAAGGCTCCTGCCTGACAGCCTATGTCCAAAGCTCTTTCATAGAAGCCACTAATGTCTCATGGCCATTGCAGTGTCTCCTGGGTCTTAGGCTTTAAATGAAACCCCAGTGTTGGAAAGCATTCACTGATGTGTGGAGAGACTTCTTTGAAGCAAGCCCAAAGAAAATTATATAATCAGATTAATTTGGTTATTGATGCTGAAAGGTAGAATTAAATTGCAAACACTCATTCAACTAATAAGCCCCCCAAATTTGTGTGTTTGAGACATATTTTAATGTGAATCTCCTGATGCTCCCAGGAATGCCAGCCACTGCCTGAGAGGAAACCTGATTTGAATCTGAGGTTGCTATAGTTACCTTTATTCTACAAAACTATCATTCTCTTCATAATCTTGTTTTTTTTAAAAGATTTATTTTTTATATATTATGTATACAGTGTTCTGCCTACATGTACACTTGCACATCAGAAGAGGGTGCCAGATCTCGTTATAGATGGGCATGAGCCACCATGTGGTTGCTGGGAATTGAAACTGAGAACCTTTGGAAGAGCAGATGGTGCTCTTAACCTCTGAGCCACCTCTCTTCTTGCCCAAAGTTGTTATTTATTAAGAAACAAATTATATATATATATATATATATATATATCATTAGATTATATATAGCAGATTTTATGTATATATATACATATATACACATATATATGTAAATATGCTTATATATACATATATACATACATATATATACATATATAAGCATATTTACATATATATATGTATATATGCATTAATAAGCAAGGTATTAGGAGAGGAGAGGGAGCTAAGAGAATACTAGCACACACCCTAGAGCAGGTGTGGACTTCCAGGGTCATGTAACTTGAAATAGTGAAATAGAATGTATTTATATGTCCCTGCATATTTCACCCATTTTTCCCATTAAGTCTACTTTATAAAAAGTTAAAATATATGCAGTGAGTCAGTCTCAGATTGAACATTTGGGTGGATGCAACATAAAAAGAAGAAAGGAAGAAATAGAGTTTGAGGGAAATTCAAACTTCATCTTGAGATTAATGTTATGGAAAAGAAGCTGAGAGTTGTGGCATTTCCTATGATGTTTGCAGCCAAAATGTCCTGCTCCCATGGTCAAAGAATAAAAGGGCCAAAACATGTCTACTGGGATCCTGGCTTTGAAATTTGAAAGACTAAACTGGTTTGGAAAACGGCTTAACCTTCTTGGGATTCGGAGTTCTTAGGTATGAAAGACAGGGACAGCAATGTCAAGGCCCTAGAGAAGCATAGGGGCTCCGTCAGCATGAGCTGCTGTTATTCTAGTGAGCTTTCCTGAGCCCCCTCTCCATCAGGCCCAGAAAGGCGTAAGCTTGAGAAAGGAGGGAATACAGAGAGCCTGTGGTTCAGCCATTCTACCTCCTGCTAAGCCCAAGTATTGCAGCATGTATGTGATTATATTACTAATTTCTTTGCTGAGAATATTGTAGTTTAATCACATCTTTCTTGAGAATGTGCTACTGTGGTGCATCTACCAGGCCTGATATTTGTCTGTCTGGAGATTTGTTAAGAATTATGTCAGTATCAAGTCCCAACTTTTCTGCAGTCTGTCGTCATCATTTTTTTTTGATCAGTTTTACATCTGTCAAGACACATAGAGAATCGTTTTGTTCATTACCTGAAAACCACCTCTGACAAAAAAATTAAAAGGAAGCAGGCTTGCCTTTTGTTACTAGCTGATGTGAAGGACAGCAGCAGCGTCTGGAGTGAGTTTTTTTCAGGGAGCACAACCCATCATGCAGTGCTGAGCCTGCTGGGTGTGCGCGTTCTATGTGCCGCATCTTCACTGAATAGCCCTCTGAAATAAAAGGAGAGACATAAGCAGAAAGGGCCTGGCTGGTACCAAGACAGAGGAAGACAGAAAGAAGGAAAGAAGAAAGGAAAGTGAGTCAAGGGCAGAAACAGACCCACTCCTTCAGAAAGATAACCACACACACCCGTGAATGACACAGCCCTCACAATGACAGTCCCACTGCACGCCGACAGGGAGGTGAAAAGAGATGCGAGAAACAAAACCTCCTCAGGGCAAAGTTCGAGGCTGATATATGTGTGTGTGTACGTCTTAATTTTGTAAGTCAAGCCAAGGGTAGAGAAATGAAAGCTACACATAAAATGGCTTTTATGTCCCAATTTAATGTAAGACCTACAGTATAGTTACCCATCCACTTCACCCATCCACTTCCTTCAGTAAAGACACCTGGATCCGCTACAAGACTGTCAAAGGAGAGCTCTGATGTGATGGCTTTCAAATACTAGGTAAAAGTGTCCAATGTGACTGTAGTATGTATAAAAA